GCTCCAGGGTCTCAGGCCCTGTGGCAGGTGGGTGGGGGTCGTTGCCAGGTACCTCGGGCCGCACAGACACTGTTCAGATCCAGCTGTGCTTCCGTGGGTTCGGCTTTGCTGGAACCCAGGCGCGGTGCTGGTCGGTGCCCCGGTTCCATCCTGGCCACCGGGGTGGGCTGAGTGTGGGCAGCTGAGGTGTCGAGGCCTGGCACCCACGAGGAAATCACACTTGCTGGAGCTGTGGGCGAGCTTGGCCCGCGTTTTAGGCTTGGCTTGGGAGTGGAGTGTTTGAGATAAAGTGAGAAGAGCGAGTACTTGGAGCATCAGGAGGAGGAGTTGGCAGGCCTGGGGACAGATTGTCCATAGGGAGAGTTTGCCACATAAAGGCTAGCGATGCAGTGTGGGGCAGAGGACACAGTGCTCGGGGCCGGCTGTGCATGGGGTCTTGGCTTCCTCTGTGAGGCAGGGCGGGGCCTCAGCCAGCGCACAGACCCAGGGAGCCTGCCCTGCAGTGGCCGCTGCTCCCATGGTGCCACATGGCAGCCAGCAGTCGGTGCCCAGGCTGGTGGAGCGCTCCGTGGAGACACCAGTACGGCAGGCCGACCTCACCCCGGCCTGCACAGCCTGAGGCAGTTGCCTTCCGAGCTCCGAGCCTTAGATGTTCTGCCTCTCTGTCCTGAACGTCGTCTTGTGGATTCAGAGATTCAGAGTCGATGATGAATCCGTGCTGTGGGAGGGCTCTGGAGAAGCACGGACAGCAGAGCTCTGAGGAACGAGGCCTGTGGCCAGCTCCAGCTTGGGCGGGCTGAAGGGCAGAGCCACCCTAGGTGCGCTATGCAGAGCTGGTGCCGCAGCCCGAGAGCCTGAGGAACAGGCTGGGCAAGCGCAGGTAGGTGGCGGGCAGCAGAGGTCTCGGGCCTGTCCCCTGCCTGGCTTTGCTCCTCCTACATGGGGTGGTGCAGAGCGCTCCGGTTAGAGGCCCGTCCTTGCCCGGCCCTGTCTTCCTGGCTGCCCTGAGTCGCGCAGGACTGAAGCCATTCTTGGGCTCCCTTACGAGTGAGTGGAAGCACTGGCCTGCACACTCAGCTGCTTGTTTCCGAAGGCTGCACCCCCACTACTCTGCTGCAGTTCCTTTTCTTGGGTGTTTCTCCCACTTCCCCTGGCATTTAATATAATAGTGAGGCGTCGTTCTAAATCACTGCCAGCTTGTGATGCATTCGATTTACATTTTTGTGCCTTCTGTATGCCAGTGCTTGCTCTGGTCTCTTCTGCGAATGCTTGCCACTCTCAGGAAGGGGGAGGGCTGTCCAGGTCTGACCACAGCACTCTGCATTCCCCGTCCTGTGTTGGCCCGGCTCTCCAGAGGGCCAGAACCGGTGAGGGTGTCCCGGTCACTCCCCTGGTCACACACAGCTGAAGGGCAGAGAGCTTGATGGCGCACCATCCTCGCCGGCTCCGAGGCAGGCCTGGGCAGAGGAGAAGTTGCTCAGGGGTGGGGGACAGGAAGGAGCTGAAGGGAGCGGAGCGACACCTGTCCAGGCCGCCCTTCCAGTAGCTCTTCCTCTGAGCAGGCGCCCTGGAAGCCTAGCGAGCTGCAGCACTCCAGACAACTCCACATGCCCGCCTTCGGCACCTGAGGCTCTGGGGAGCGTCCAGGCGTAAACATGACGGGTGTGCACAGGTCTTGCGTGTGAGGGGCCCGTGTGACTGCGTGCCTGTCCCTGCACACTCGGCAGGGTGAGTGGCCTCATCCCAGGTGAGGGCTGAGCAGGAAGAGGGGGAGCCTGGAGTGCCAGTAGCTGCAGGCCTGGCTGCACAGGTCTTGAAGTTTGACCATGGAGTCACAGCAGGCGGTGCAGCCAGCTGTTTGGCTCTAGCTGAGGCCCAGGACCTGGGGAGGATCCCCTTTACCAGCCCACTGATCCTTCCCCATCCTCAGAGCCTGCGCAGAAGCACCTGGGTTGCCGGATCCTGTCTGCCAGTCCCTGGGCACTAGTGGTCGCAGTCAGGACCGCAACCACACAGGGCAGCACCACAGGGGCAGGTGGGCTGTGTGCCTTGCTAACTCCAGCTGCGAGTTCCTCCTGGGCGAGCTCGAAGCCAGCCCCCTGCGTCAGGCCAGAGTCTAATGCAGGACGGACGGGGTTCACTGGTTCTTCCCCATGCAGTCTGCGAGCTGGCAGTGTGGACCTGCACGGTGAGGCCCTGGAAGATCAGAGCCAAGAGAACCTCTGAAGGGAGACAGGCTGAGAAGGTTCGGGGCTGTGAAGCTGAGGCACCTAGAAACACGCTAGCCCGAGGCGGTGGCGGCTCCTCTAGGCCCGCCATCTTCTGGTCTCCCTGGTGACTAAGCGAGGTCCCATGGGGAGAAAACACCTGCAGTCGGACCAGTGTGGCGACTGCCATTTGGGGACTGCAGGGGGTGTGGAAGGACACAGATGGGGACAGGCTGCCTTAGGTGAGCACACAGCAGAGAGGTGATTTGCATGCAGAACAGAACTTACACAAACTCGAGACTTCTGGGAGAGAAGCTGATGGGTGGAGCTGCCTTCTGTGCTTAAGGGGGACCTTGAGCTGCCTGAGGTTAGAGGTCAGAGGTGAGAAGGTTGGCAGTGCCTGCACGGGAGCCCATGTGAGGCCCTGCGTTCAGAAGTTCAGCAGATTCGCAGCCTTGAGCACCCTGACTTGAATCAGCAGTTTCCTTACCCAGAATGTCATTGCCGCCTTCCCTGGGAGGAGTCAGCAGAACTCGAACAGCCAGCCGCCTGCCCCTGGAGTGCGCTGCTTGGTGCCCCGGCACCCTGTTCATGCCCCCAGCTCTCCTGCTAAGCAGTATTTGGGTCCCCAGTTCACAGCAGAGCACGGGACACCCCAGGTGTCACCTTGCCCGTTTGCTGGTGATTTGCCCTTGGAGCAGGGTTCGCAGAGCTCTCTAGGCTCACCCCAGAGCCCCCAGTTCCTCCCAAGCAGGGAGCCCACTGCTGTGTGCAGAGGCAGTGCGAGGGCCAGGACCGGCCCGGCTGGCCAGCCCCGAGATTGGCAGCTTGACTGTGAGTCCCCGTGTCCCGTCTGTGCCCGCAGTGCCACCTCAGCATCCTGCCCAGCTCCCGGGAGCCTGCGCCTGCTGCGGACGCGCCCCTGCCTGCCCTGCCCGGTGCCCACCCACTTGGTCCCTGTGAGTGGAGAAAACATGAGTCTGCGCCCACCGGCCGCTGCCTCCTCCCTCCTCTGCCTGGAGCTCACTCGGCTGAAAGCAAACAGGAGCCAGGTTCAAAGCCTGCTGGGAGCATGCTGGGCCCGTCCTGCCGGGTGCCGAGCGCTGCCCTGGCCGTGGGATGCACCAGTCTGTGCCCTGCACAGGAGAGGACTGCACGGGCTTTGTGCCAGCCGCTGTGGAGCCCGAGGTCATCGGAGAGCCTGGGGCTCCTGCTCCCCACAGGGACCCAGCCCTTCTCCCACCCGTCTGTGAACCCCAGACCCTGGACTACTTTGAAGGAGAGGCAGGAAGGGGCTTACACCTTTGCCCAGCTCCCCAGGAGCGGCTCCAGTTTCTGCCCTGCAGGGCTGGGCCCCCAGCAGTTAGGACAGCTGAGCAGGCAGAGTCCCGCACTGTGCCGTGTGGGGAACAGGGCCCTGTGTGCGCCCTGCTGTGAAAATCCCTTTGCTGGAGAGGCCCAGGTGCAAGTGCTGAGCCCACGCCACTTCCCGTGCCTCAGTTTCCCGTCTGGGTTGCAGGGTTCTCAGTGGCACTTTTTCTGGGAAACCTCCAGACGGGCCCTGCTCCCTCCTCCCTTCTTCCTGTTGCCTCAATTGCAATCCTGTTCACAGCACAGGGGCCAGCACCCACCCTCCGCGTTTATCAGGCTCGAGGCATGGCCACAGAGACACAGGGCCCAGCTTCGCCTTCACTGGACTCCCAGCCTCCATGGGAAGCACTTGGTTAAATCACTTCATCTTTAAGGGATGGCAGAGACATGTTTCCTCAGTGCTGTCTGTGCACAAGTTGCAGAGCACTGGCTGCACACTCCTGTTGGGATATGTTGAAGGATATTTTCCCTGCAGATGGAGGAAGGCTTCCTTTGAGAGATGCTGCTTTTAAAATAGTGTTTCGAAGGATGCATAGGAGTTCACATAGGACATGCCCAATAAATTCAGTCATTATTATGCTTTCCTTTTGCTCCTCTTCCTCTTTCGCTCTCTTATACAAGTCCTTCCTCCTCCTCCCCAGGCTCCTTCTCCCTCCTTTCCTATTTTTTAAATTAATTTTATTGGCACATTTTAGGTGTACAACATAATGACATTGATCATTGGAAATTTGCACCTTTACATACTCTCTTGGTTCTTATTCCCCCCCCGCCCTCCCTTCACCCCTCTACCCCTCCCTATTTACAAAGAATTTATTTCCATTTTTTCCTTTTCTCATAGTTTTTCCTTTCCCTTCCTTCCTTTCCCCTACCCCTCCCATTTCCTTCCCCTTTGCCCCTTTTCTTCCTGTTTCACATTATCTATTACACCTTTTAGTCCTTATTTACACTTTCAGTTTCTCACACCAGAGAAACTATTTGGTATTTACTATTTGGTGTGTCCTATTTATTTCACTTAAGAGGATGGCCTCAATAGGCCTCCATTTAGCTATAAATGACTCCAGTTTCTCATTCTTTATGGCTGAGTAGTACTCCATTTTATTAAAAAACCACATCTTCTTTATCCAGTCTCCAGTTGACAGGCACTTGGGCTGTTTCCAAGTTTTAGCTATTACGAACTGTGCCGCTATGAACATGGGTGCACATATATTGGTGTGGTATGATTCTTTTAATTCTTTGGGGAAGATCCCCAGCAGGGGAATGGCTGGGTCGAATGGGACCTGCAGTCCTGGTTCTCTGAGTCCCTTCCCAGTCCTGTGCTTTGCTGTTGAGCCTGTCCGCGGAAGCCTGGAGCACAGAAGGGTGCAGTCCGGGCACTCAGGAGCCATGGTTTGCCAGCCTAACTCTCCCCTCCTCTCTCCGCAGATGGGAAGCCCGTGTCGCTGTCGCCGCTGGAGTCCCAGGCCCACAGCCCCCGGTCCCCGGCTTCCAGCCCCCGGGAGCGAGAGGGCCTGGAGGCGCGGGTGCGGGAGGTGGAGGAGGAGAACCGCGCCCTGCGCCGCCAGCTCAGCCTGGCCCGGGGCCGCCCGCCCGCCCCGCGCCTAGGCAACCACTCGGGCACCTACTCGGTGGAGGAGGGCACCGGCGACAGCGAGAGCCTGCGCGCGGGCATCGTGGCGGGCAACAGCTCCGAGTGCGGGCAGCAGCCGGCCGTGGAGAAGTGCGAGGTAAGGGCCGCGGGGCGGGGCGGGGTGGGTAACGGGGCTGCTGTGGGCGGAGCCCGGGCCCCTCCCCGAGACGGGGTGGGCCTCCCCTGCAGATGACAAGGCCCCGTGGGCGCCCTTGACACCACCTGGCCTGCTTATGGGCCTCTGGCTGGGACTCCAGTGTGAATGGAGCCCTGGAGGCGCAGCCCCAGCGGGCGGCCGGGCTCAGGCGGAAGGCTGCTTGCTTCCCCAAGGCCGCCCTGGGCACCGGTAGCCGGTAGCCGAGTGTCCGTCTCTGCCTTGGAGGCTCGCTGACTTCTGTGCCCCCGGATCCACTGCCCTATCCGTGCCACCCGTGGTGTCCTGTGTCCATACTCATGGCATGTGTGCACCACCATGCAGGGACGCACGCACACGTGTGCACTCCCGCTGCCTGCCTCTGATGGTGGAGGCCAATGGGAGCCTCAGGCACCCGCCCCCAGGGGCGAGCCGGGGGACACCCAGCGTGGCTCCTGCTGTGAGTGTGTGCGTGGGAAACCCCCACCGCGCTGCGCCCCTTGTCTCTCGGCAGACCTCAGGCCGCACGGTTTGCTTCCTGGCACATCCTGAGGGGCACACGGTGGCCGGCGGAGCCACCCGAGGCCTGCTGTGGGCAGGGCGGGTCTGTCCTGCGCAGTCTGCATCCCCAGTTGGATCCAGCGCCTCCTGCTGGCTCTGTACTCTGCTTCCGGCTCAGAGTAGGAGTCTAGGAGCTGTCTAGCCGGCAGGACGGGGCAGGAAGGGGGAGGCTGGCATCATTCTCCCGTTTCCTGAGCTGGGAGAGGTGGAGGGGCAGATATCCAAGGAGTATGCAGCAGGAGGGGACGTGGGCCGCCCAGGGAGCCCCGGCAAGGAAAGGACCCCACGTCCTCTCCGTTTGCTCACTGAGTCGTTCAGCAAACCAGTATTGCGCCTGCACTGGTGATCTCATGGGCTCCCAGGCTGGACAACAGGCAGAAGAGGATAGCGCCCTCTTTCTCCTGGTCCTGTGCCCTGCAGTGGGAGGGGAGGAGAGGATAACAAATACTGAAGTACCAGCTTGGGGCCCATACCTGCTGCAGGGATGTTTGTTTCTTTGTTTTCTCAGTACTGGGGTTAAACCAGGGCCTTCGCCCTTTTTACTTTTTCCCGAGACAGGGTCTCCGAAGTTGCCCAGGCTGGGTTGAACTTTTGACCCTCCTGCCTCAGCCCCCAGAGTGGTGGGGTGACAGGCGTGCCCTCGTGCCAACTTCACCCTGCACGTTTTCTCAGCACTGGGTGCTAGTTCCGCCCCCTCACTGTGCACAACAACCACGGCCACGGGCTTTGTGGCAGCTCTGGAGATGGAGACACTGCGAGGCTGTCTGACCCCCTGCATCTAGCTGGCCAGGAGGGCCCAGAGCTGGGAAGCTCTGACTCGCCGGTGCAGACCGGTGGGGTCTCCCAGGGCCTCTGCTGCCACAGGCTGCCTGTGTGGTTTAGAGGGACCCACTGGCAGCACCGGTGGCCCAGGCCGAGGAACGTGTTCCCAGGTGCTGGGGTGCTGTGACTCTGGCCTGCTCTAAGGGGGTGGAAACAGGAGGAGCTGAGCCGCACTGTCCTGGCTCCCAGCTGCCGCTTCTCCTCAACTGCCCGAAGCTCCCCGGCAGGCAGCCCGAATTCTGTCCCAGAAGCCACTCCGGGCAGAAGCCGAGGGCTTCGAACCAGGACCCGAGTCCACCGGCTGCTCCTGGTTCCAAGGCTGTCTGGCTGTGAGTGAGTGTGTTTCCTTCCTGTGGCTCCGCCTGTCTTGCAGCAGGTGACGGTGGGAGGAGTCACAGCCCTGGTGTCTCAGCGCTGCCTCCAGTTGGCTCAGGTCGGGAGAGAAGCTCCCAGGTGGTGGTTTCTGAGCTGCGCATCTCAGGGGTTGTCTTGGCCCCAGCACAGCAGCCTGGGATCGGAATCTCGCTTCTGTTTGTGTTTAGGCCCCAGGCAGGCTGGCTGGCTGTTTGCAGGGCGTCTCTGATCCGGAGGGAGCAGCAGAGCCACAGCCATGCCTAGTGAGTGCATTACAGCTGGGCGGGGCAGGCAGTGCTGGGGACAGGTGGCGACTTAGGGACACGTGGTGGTCCTCACCGACCCAGGTGGGGAGCCGGCTGCCCTCACCTGTGCCTCCTGCAGGAAGCAGGGACAGGCTTCACTGAAGGAAGAGCACTCTCCATGCCGCTTGAGGTTCTGCTGCTGCCGTCCCAGGACCATTGTCCTGCGTGGGGTTCCCGAAGTGGGTCGTGCTCAAGACCACTCCATACCAAGGAGGCCTCCCTGGCCTGCGGGACCCAGGCCACCCTCCTCGCGTCTCTGGGACTCAGGCCAAGTGGTGAAGATGCCCTGTAGGTCCCTGAGGCATGGGCTGCTCAGGTCCACACGGGAGGCTCGTAAGGCTTGTAAGGCTCGATGGGCTTCTTTAGTTCCTCTGACCCGGAAAGGCACAGTAGCAAGGCCGCAATCAAGACCCCAGCCTCGGTGATGCTTCCTTGGAGCATTTCCTCACACTCTGATCTGCACCTGAGCGTGGCCTTTCTTCCGCTTGTTTTCCTTCTTTTTCTCTGAGGTCCTTTTTCTCTGTTTTCTGGGTCCTGTTGCTTCCTGCGCCCTCGAAGCACTGTCCCTGGAGGACCCCCTGTGAGGGGAGGAGCCCGTCCTGCTCAGGGCTCCCTCGCGTGCTCCTGGACATGCTGTCTGTCTTACTTCCCCGGGGCATTGGCGCTGCCTGCTGCTTCCTGCCTGTCAGCCCGGTCCTCCGGTTCCCGGTGCTGGAGCCCAATCGTGGTGCCCGGCTGCTGCGGTTCAGGGCCCCCTGGCCAAGTGCGCTGCTACCCTCTGGCCGATTCGCAGCCTCCCTGAGGCAGGACAGGTGTTTGTGCACACACAGGACCTCAGGTGACGGAAAGACTGGCCTCACTTGTGGATGGAAGAATCAGGGCACCCCATACCCTCCGCGAGCACAGTGGGTGGGCTCCACTGCCCCTCTGTAGGTGCTGGGCTCTGTGGCTCCGCTCCTGATGCTGATCGCACTCATGGCGGCAGGTGGCTGGATGAGACAGGAGCCTGGAGAGTGAGGTACAGTGTCAGCGCACACGCCGTGCTTACGGCTCATGTGCCCTGAAGCCAAGGCAGTTCCTCCCTCACAGGCCGGGAGTTTGGATGTTTGGCTTTGGAAGAGCCTGGTCCCGCTTGTCCTTAGACACCCTCACCCCTCCTGGCTCTGTCTCCCCGTCTCCCCGGCGGTGTTGCCTGTTCTTCCCTTCTCACTGACATGGTGGTGGCCGCATCCTTACTGCCCTCTTTCAACCAAACCCTTTTGGAGATGTTATCCGGAGATGAGTTATGGCACTTTCCCCATGCAGGTGAGGTTCAGGTTCACATGCATGAGCAGAAGCAGCAGGAGAATCCGAGGATCTGACCCCAAGCCCAGATTTCTTGCCCTTTTTCTCTAAGGGCTTCCTGACAGGGTGTGCCGACCTGTGGGCAGGTCCACCTGCAGGCAGGGTGTGCGGTGGCCTCCCTGGCCTCTGTCCAAAGCTCAGCAGCACCCAGAGTCCCCAAGCTGGCCTGCATCCAGCAGCTCAGGCCTGCAGGGGGCTCGAAGGACCTTAGCATCTGGACCCCATTTCCTTGGTGGGAGGTGGCACTGGCACAGGGGGATGGACCCCAGGGTTACAGTGCTGCTGCAGTGTTTGGTTCCAAGCCTGTCAGCAGCATTTCCTGAGGATCACAGGGCAGGGAACCCTGTACCTGAGTCCCTGGGCTGGGTGCCTCCTCTTCACCTGTGCAGCACTGAGCACGGTACCTTCCCAGGCTGTCCTGGCTCTCGTGCTGCTTCCTCCTGTCTTGCATCTCTCCCTGCCATTCTTCCGGGCCCTCTGGTCCCTGAGCAGAGGCGCAGCCTGCAGACCTTTGGGGTGGGGTGGGGGCTGAGAGTGCAGTGACGGGGAGGCTGCACAGACACCGGAAGTCAGGACCCTCTGCGGAGGGAGAGGAGCCACCCTGGATCCTGCAGGCGTGGTGAGCTGTGGCCCTGGGACTCCCCAGGAAATGAGGTTCTGGGTGAAGCTGATGTCCAGCTCGGTCCCTGCATTGGGGTGGTGAAGGTGGGGGAGGGATGTTGGTGATTGGAGGCTTCATCCCAGGGACACAGTTTCTGTCCCGTCGTCAGCAGCTGGGGTGGTGCAGGGGCCTGGCCCTGAGTCACGGGAGCCTGGGGAGCAGTGAGTGGCGTCAGTGGTGTGTCTGCAGTGGCTGACAGACAGTGGGGAGTCGGGAAGCCGGGGCACAAGATCGAGGGCTGCGTCCAGCACCCGACTTTAGGACCGAGGGCCGAGGGCCGAGGGAGGGCCCGGGACAGTGTGACCGGAGCCACGTGAGGGGACAGACTGCCATTCAGGGAGCCCAGTGCCCAACAGGGGGATACACTCGAGAGGCCCGGACCGGGTTCCCACAGTGGCACTGGCCGGCTTCGGGCACATGGTGCGGCACATGGAATGGCCCTTTGTGGTGCAGCAGCTGGATGGGAAAGCTGGACAGGTGGCAAGGCATGGCCCACCGGGCGGCACCGGCCCGGCCTGGCAGGTCCCAGGCTGTGCACAGATGCGGACTTTTTCACCTCAGCTCCGCCGTCACAGCCTGGCACCGGGCCCTGCTTTGGGAGGCTGTGTTCTTGGGTGGTTCAGCGGGGGCCGGCATGGCCTATAACGGTCCCGCTGCGTGCACCGTCCTGCAGGGAGGCCTCCGACCCTGCGGCTCTCCAGGCCTCACGGCAATGAAGCCCGGGCCAGGACGTAGGTCCGTGGGCAGTGTCCCATGGGCACCACGCCTGCTGACCTTGAGTCCGATCCCTGAAGGGCGGCCCTCCTTCCAGGGCATCTTCTGTCCCCCCCACTGTCATTGTCCTCACTGTGGGGCGGAGACCCACCGTTTGCCTACTGGAACCAAACACCCTTCCTCCTGTCCCCAAAATGTAATTGGAAAGAAACTTAATGGCTTCCAAATGATGATCGCTCCACAAACCGATGACAAAGGCTGTAATTAAACTGTGTCGAGTTCTCCCCACAGCGGCAGGCACTGCCCTTTGCTCTCTAACGGTGCCAAGAAGGAAGGAGAGGGGTTGCTCTTCTCGGAGGGCTTCCCCGTCCCACCTGCCTGACCCTGTGCTCCTCTCCTCCAGACCATCCACGTCGCCATCGTCTGCGCCGGATACAACGCTAGCCGGGACGTAGTCACCTTGGTCAAGTCGGTCCTCTTCCACAGGTGAGAGCAGCCTCGAGGTGGGCGGCGTGTCCTCGGGGGAGCGGGAAGGCCAAGTCCTCACCCTGCTCAGGCTGCAGGGAAAACTGCATCTGTGTCCTGACCACAGGAGCCACAGGCCCCCAGGGAGGGCGGTCAGCTTCTCCATCAGCTCCGGGCCTGCACATGCGCCTTGCAGGCCACGTAACGCACCGCGTGATGTTCCCCAGAGTTCGTGTTTTGAAGCTGTGACCCCAGGCACTTCAGACTATGACGTGCCCGGAGATAGGAAAGACCTTCAAAGACGTGGCTGGGTGAAAATGGGCCCACGGCATGAGCCCTAACCCAGTATGATTGATGTCTTAAAAAGAGATCAGGACGCAGCCACGCAGGGGGCGGACACTGACCCCATCTCAGGCCGAGGACAGCACCCGAGACAGCTCCTCGCCAGCTGTGTCACCCAGTCCTGTTCCACCAGCCACCTGTGCTGTCTGTTGTGTCTCCTACTGGGCGCTGTCTCCCTGCCACTGTTCCCTGTGGCGCCTCTGGGCATTTCTGGGTGTCGCCAGCCCTGTCTCGGCCTCCTCTGACATGTCCCCTGGAGCCCCGTCCCAGCTCTAGGCGAAACGCCCGCCTTTGTCCACGCTCTCCGGGGACTTCTCCCTGGCCTACTCTGCTGGGTGGTGTTGGGTCACATCCAGAACCGGGCTTGCAGGTCCAGCTTGCCCTGGGCACTGCTTTGACTTCTCAGGGAGGGCTTGAGTCCGTGGGCAGTGGTCCAGACAGTGCTGGGGGACCCAGCCAGGACCAGAGGCTCTGCGAGAGCTCTGAGATCTCGGAGACCACGTGACGGGATCGGGATGTGTCCACCTGGGTCTAGCTCTCGGGTATAACCAGAGACGGGGGCACCATGGAGCCCTGGACCCGCCCCCTGCAGGAAGCTGGGGTTCCCGCGTCTCCCCCTCTGGTTCTCTGTGGCTGTCTGTACCCCGCTCTGCCCTCAGGTGCTCAGTCTCCTCACCTGTCAGCCCCTCCTGACTGCCCAGCTCTGTTCTTCAGGGTCGTGCTCTCTGGGCCCCAGTGGTGTTGCAGATGGAAGCCTGAGCTCTGTCAGCTTCTGGGGCCTGCCTTGCCTCGGGAGGAGCCACTTCTCCACAGGGCTCTGCATCTGGGGCTGCTGCCCTTCTCTGTGCAGTCCTCTCTCCTTGTGCTCACTTTGCCCTGTGCCTCCAACCTGCTCGGGGCCCCCCTCTCTGCACTGGGTCTCTCTCCATGGCTGGGTCTGGTCCTGCTGGTCCCTTGGCCACCTCACCCAAAACCACGGCTCCTTACCCGTCTGGACTGCGAGGAGATGTCGGGCCTCTGTCCTGCCAATGATGAGCCTGTGGAGCAGGGTGAGGCCTTCTGGGGACACAGACTGTGCCTCACTTTCTGCAGGCCTGGGGTCTTAGCAAACTGCCACTAAAAGGCCATGACTGTTGGCTTGCAATAGTAATAACTGTGTTGCGAGTGACTCTGGGGGAGTTTGTCAGGGACCTTGAGGGCAGATCCATTCAGTCAGCTCACTAATACACCCTGCCCAGCAGCTCAGTGTCTTTCTTGCCACAGTGCAGCCAAGTGGCTTTCAGCAGGTCGCTCTCTTCAGTCATCAGTGCCTGTGTTAGTCATCTCCTCCCGTGACCTGGTCTGCCCAGAACTTACCTGGTCCACAGCAGGCTTACTGCTGAAATCAGAGGGATGGTGCTTTGGCTGGGCCCTCGCTCGGCAGTGATCCGCAGGCCAGAGAGCCAGAGGTGGGGTTCGACGCCCTCCTGGTGGGGAGTGGGAGGAGCCAGAAAGCCAAATGGCAACAGCGTCATTAGGGGCAGGGCTGCCATCCCTCCTGCCAGCTGTGTCCCATTGGAAGACAGGGCAGCACAGGAGGAAGTAGGAGGCCATGTATCCGGCCAAGAGGGGTGGGCCCTGCATCCGGGACTGGAGGAGGAATGAGCTTTCCATGCAGCATTGCTGCGGGCAGCGTCAGACACCCTCACCTGCTGCTGCCCGAAGCCAGGTGCCCTGCAGCTCAGCACTGAGTTAATAGGGCCCCTCAGCTCCCCCTCGCCATTGCAGAGCCCCAGCCCCCAGAGAGAGTAGGCCCTCCCCTTCACAGAATGCAGGGCACGGATATGGGTGCTCAGCTGTGCTGAGCCTCAGTGATGACCTTCTAAGGTCACAGTAAATTGTGTTCCTGTTGCTATAGCTACAAATCACATAACCCAGTGGCTGCTGACATTGCAAGAGTCCCACTGAGGATAAACTTCCACCCCTACAGTCACATGCCATGCAGACCTTAAATTATAGAATAGCTGCTGGTGGCATGCTCTACTTTCTTGGAGACAGGGGACTTGAGAAAGCCACCTCCTGGTGTAGGTCCGGACCAATTCTGCACCCCGCTCAGTGATTCCTCGATCTTCTTGGACCAAGTGAAGCCCCAGTCCCTGAGAGTGTAGGAATCAGAGTGATCCTGTGAGTCAGTATGCTGGTGAGGAGCCTGCATAGCAAGACGAGAGGACGCTTGAAAGACTCTGAGCTCAGAAAGTGCAGCTATAAATAGCCCCACTGCCTTCAAGCATGTGTCGGGATTAACTGAGTGTGATTATCAAACCGTTGAAAAAGCACCTTCCTGATGTTAATGATAATATGATAATAGTGGTGCTGGCTGCTGCTTTGGTCCTCACCGTTAATTACAGTGACTCAATTTATTTTCCCGAAAAGATTTCCAACAAGTTTTCAATGAAAGCTTGCTTTGTTACACCCGGCCGGTTTTCCTTCTGCAGGGTGCCTGGTGGCGGGGAGGATGCTGTTCTCAGTGCCCACAGCAGTGCTGGGACAAGCATGCACACTGACTCAGCGCTGCCAATTGCTAAACCTTCTGGGAGAAAGTGTGCAGCCTTTGCCTGACGCCTTGACCCCATGAGACTGCTGTAGGGACTGTGTCTTAAAAGGGCGGCCCAAACTGTAGAGAAAGCTTTTCAGAACTGTTTCATAAAAATTGGATAACACTTAAAAACAAGAATAATGGAACAGCCTCTGATAATGAGCCATGCGCCCCGGCTGCAGAAATAAGTCGCAGCAAAAGCAGTGGTTACAAGATCGGGTCAGTGAAGGTTCAGTGTGGGATGGGACGCGCAGCCTGCATTCAGGTGCTCAGCAGGCATCGACACAGGTGCGGGCCGGGCACAGGGAATGAAAGGCTGGCCGGAAACACCTAGGTAAAGCAAGCTTGGAGAGCTGTGTCTGTGTGGGAGAAAAGAGGTGATTTTGCTTTTGTTTTCTCTGCTACATACAGTTTTGATCCTGTCGCTGTGCAGCCTGTGTGGGGAAGAGAGGTAGATGAGGGGACTCTGCGTGCAGTGTAAGTGATGAGGGTTTACTGCCTAGTAGCATACCACGCATCCCCATTGCCTTGACGGGACGATGTTCAGAGAAAACTGGGAGCACAGCTGTCCCTCCAGTCCTGATGCAGGTCCCCAGAAACCCTGCTGCTCTTCAGGGAAGCCCAGCACTTAGCGAGCAGAGAAGAAAAGCGCTCTTTAGTAGCTAAGTGTGAGTATTTGTAAGCCAGGATGGTCTGAGCCTCACAGTCCGATTCCCCTTGGCAGGGGGCTGCTCGTGTCATTCCTTTCTGCATGCAGCAGGCTTTGCTTCTGATAGCAAGCCCACCAGGCCCGTGTGCTCCTCTGCTTGTGTTCCTGCTTCTTCTGCTTCACCCTCGGGGGAAGCATGGTCCAGGCTGCTCGGGGGACAGAACCAGCGAGCACAGGGAGGCTGGCAGGTGCTGGCCCGACTCTGGCCCTGGGCAAGCTGGTGACCCCACTGCTCCATGGCACCGTGGCCTGCCCCGCCCCAGGCCCTGGACACTGCTGTTTGCCTGACTCTTACACAGCCAGTGCTCCCTCTGCCGTGGGCTGTGTCCAGGGCACCAGCAGGTCCTCACACACCGGGCCCCCTGTGCCGCCCCGAGGTGGGCACTGTTATCAGCCCCATTGCAGACAGTCTGCTGTGCACCAAGTGTGTGGCAGTGGCCCAAGGTCACAGACAGGACAGAAGGGCCAGGCGTGGAGTGGGTCAGTCCAACCCCAGCATCTGCAGCCTTCACCAGCAGGGTCACTGGTTTGGGTATGTGAGCTTTAGTGCCCGTCTTGAGTGACAGGGTGGACCTTATTGTCACTACTGCCCTCCCTGTAGCTCCTGCGCCTCGGGCACGCCTGTACCTGGGAAGCCAGAGACCGGCGTGTTGTACTCAGGTGCAGGGCTTCACACCTGAATGGATGGTGTTTCCATGTCACCCAGCCTGCGACAGCACGTGCCACCGTCCCCAAGGCTGATGGGACGCACAGGCTCTGGAGTTGAGTGGCTCCTTCTGGGTCCCCACGAGGAAGTACTGGCCCAGGGTTCCAAGCCTGGCTCTGCCAACCCCCGATCCATGAGGCTTCTGCTGTCTCAGGAGGCCCTGTTACTTCTCTAGCGAGTTCCCCGGTCCTCCCCGGAGCCCTCCTCACGTGTCCCAAGTCTCCCAGAGTACCCAGGCCACACGACCTTCTTCCAGTAGAAAATCACACTGAGGACCTCAGCCCAACTGCTGTGGTTTTCTGCAATGCGTGCTATTAACTCTCTGCGTGTCCCAGACTCCCTGAGCTCCAGGTGCTGTCACAGGCTCTCTTTTCCTAAAGTTGCCACTGGATTGTAAACTTAATTAACGATGATCTCAGCCGGCAAGGCCTGTGTGACCCCAGCTTGTGGTGGAGGCTGTGGTACTTCCCTTCAGGTAGGAAGGGCGAGGGGGTGGGGGTGAGAGCAGCAGCCGTCCCCAGGATGTGAATACGCTGTGGCGCCTGGCTTAGGCGCTACTCTCCCTTTGACCAAGGAAAGATGTGGGCTCGCAGCAGCAGGGTGGCTGGCTGTCCTGGGTGTAGACGGCTTATTGGGATTCCGGCGGGATTAAGGCCAGAGCCCCACACATGCGCTTCCTCAACTCGGTTCCTCCCAGTCAGCGCTGCATGTCTGGCAGCAGGGCCTCATCCTGGCCGCAGCACACCTGCCTTCACCAGCCCCTCTTGAGCTGGGAGTGCTGACCCTGGCCTGCCTCTTTCCCCCAGGCTTGTCTTCTTCCTGTACTGAACGTGAGGCTGCCGACCGGGTCCCTGAGGTCCCTCAGCTGCTTCTTGCCCCTCTTCTGGTGTCTGAGCTCATTTCTCCTGCTGTCCTCTCCATGCAGCATCCGGTGCTCCCCCTCTTCCACTGCTGTGACAGAGGAATGCAGGGGGCGTCTGCAGGAGCAAACTCACAGGCTCTCGGTGCAGTGGTCAGGGATGCTGCATCATAACACCAGTGTCTGGCAGAGGGCTTTGTGTGTCACCTGCGAGGAGCAGAAGGGCAGGAGAACAAGGGGACAAACACTCTAGGGACAGTGGCCACCCCTGCAGTGAGAGCACTGATCTACCCAGGGGGGTTCCCCACGGCCCTGACACCCCCACAGCTGCTGCATGGGTCAAGCAGGCCTCAGGAGACACCCACGGTCGGACCAGAGCACTGTGTGTCCTCTCCGTCTGCCACCCGTCTGTCCTTCCGGCTCACTTACTGAATTCCTTCCACATTCCCAGCCCTCCGTCGTGAACCCAGGGCTCTGTTACCTGCAGAAGCATGGTCCTTCGCTGGGCGGGCGAACAGGCCGTGGTTCACTGGGCTGGGCGCGGTTGGGCCTGGCACTGGGACAGGTTAGGAAGAGCCCGGCCTAGACCGAGGCTCTGAAGGAGACAGCGCCCAACCTAAGAACCAAGGGTGGGCAGGAGAGGGCTGAGTGGGGTGAGGTTCGGAGGTTGTGTTCCAGGAGAGGGGGCTGCATGTCTTCCTCCTGCAGTGTCCCCAGCACCCAGCCGTGGCCTGGCAAAGCGAGGGCCTGGGGCCCCATGCATGGGCAGACCCGAGAGGGTTTCCTTCAGGGCACCAGATGTGCCAAGGCTGGGGTGGGGAGAGCCCAGGGTAACCTGGCACAAGTGCGAGGAACTCAGGACGGAGCTGGGGACGCTGTGTGGGGCAAAGAGCCCGGTGCCAGCCGTGCCCACCGGAGCCTGCTCTGTCCACGTGGGTCCTCACTGCACTGCCTGCTGCGCCCACTGCCCTCCCTGCTCCCGGGGCCCCCGCTGGCGCCTCCTCTCCCTGTCCCTGTGCCTGACGCTGCCTGGCCCAGCTGCAGACTCCTGCTGCAGTGCAGTGCATCCTGTCCCTGTGCCCTGTCACATCTGTTTGTCCTCGAGGACACTGACTGTCTCCCCTGCACCCCTCTGACCGAGGCAGAACTTGGCTCCTTTTCCCTTTGTGGGAGTCGCGTCCTTTTGTCCCTAGCTGCATGCACAGTGCAGCGGTTCCAGCTGCCATCCTCTTAGAGCAGCAGTGTTTACAGGGGGGCTCACCGTGCCCAGGGCCCTCTGAGAGGTGAGCCGCTGTTTCCTGCTGTCCTATTTATTCCCAATGTGTTGCGTGTTAAGCTCTCATTTCATCAGTGCAGTGACTTCACGAGGGAGGCTTCCTAACATTTTATAGAACTGAGCAGTGCAGAGGTATCAGTGACACGCAGTGCTCCCTGTGACAAATGCAGGACACGGCTGCCTCCGAACCCGGGCCCGCGTCCTGCTGGGGTGCATGGAGTGCAGCCTCCCAGTGGGGCTGAAGAGTCCTCGATGAATAAACACTGCCCAAACCCCGGAAGTGAGGACAGCTGATGCCCAGGGGTGAGAGCCTGGGTCTCTGTGGGGAAGACCACGCAGGAAGCACACCTGACACCTCACACCAGTGCTGGGACGGGTGCCTGCCAGCCGCTGGAAGATGCCCCATGTCCGAGTCCCCTGCACTGTGCCTATGTGACCAGCTGGCAGGCATAAAGCAAAGTCTGGCCGGCGCAGAGGCCTCGGTAGGGGTGGTGGGTGGCCTGGGTTGTGCATCCCAGCAATGTCACCTGGCAAGTTCAGGTGAGATGTGTTCCCTTCTCCCTGCTCCGATGTCCTCACCAGTGAGCACTGCTGGGCTACATCCCTGGCTGCCTTCCACAGTGGCCTGGGAAGCAAGTCCTGCCTCTGGAGCTGGGACAGACAGTGTGAGGCTCAGCACAAAGCCCTGACCCTCCACGGCCTCCTCTACCTCTCCTCCCCACAGACGGAACCCCCTGCACTTCCACCTCATTGCTGACTCCATCGCGGAGCAGATCCTGGCAATGCTCTTCCACACCTGGATGGTGCCCGCTGTGCGCGTGGACTTCTACAATGCAGAAGAGCTCAAGGTAGGGCAGTAGGGTGGGCGGGGAAGGAGGGCAGGTGGGCCCCTGTCTACTCCAGCTTCTTCCTGGAGGCCGAACAGGCTGGTGGTGCAGAAGTCTCAGCTGCTAACTGGACATCCAGCCTGGACAGGGTGTCTGGAATGGTCACTGAAGGTGACCGCGTGACCACTCCCGGCACAAGTCCACGTTGCTCTGGGCTGCCCTGGCCACCAAGCCTTCCCTGGAGGCTGGGGTCACTGGTGCCTGAGCGTGGCCTTTCATAGAAGACTAGAGGATCCCTTCACCCAGGGAGGTGTGTGGAGCTCGAGGTCTGGTGGACCTGGGCTCAAATTGGGGTGTTCTCATCCTAGATCGCGTGACCCCAAGTCAACCCTGTCTCTGTGGGCCCTGTTTACTGGTTAGCAGTGATTAGAATTCAACGCTTGGGGTAATTAAGAGGCTCAAGTGAAAGAATGTGTGTGAGCCTGCGTAAGAAGCCGATGCTGAATAAACATTAAGGGTTTTCACCAAAGGAGCCACGTGGTCGCTCCCTCCTGTGCCTGCCACCCTGGCTTCATCTAGGCCGAGGTCCCGGCCAACCCCGGAGCCTGCGGTGCTGGCTCTGGGCTCAGCCTGGCCATTCCGCACACCTCCCAGTCTCGGGCTCTAAGACTGGAGGCCGAGGCTCTCTGGGCGCTCTATGCTGCGCCTGCACAGGCTGTGCCTTCTCACCGTCTTGTCGCAAGTCCTACGCAGCCCTCCTGACTTGCTTGTGTTGCCCAGGGCCATCCTTGACCTCGCCAGGAGAGGGAAATGTTCTGTTGCCTCTGTTGAAAGCTTCTGGGGAGGTGGGAAAAGGGACCGGCCGCTCGCTTCTGCATTCTGGTGCGTAGTAAGTGCCTCGTAGTGCTCCTGGGCTCCACAACCAAACGCTCCTGTAGCAAACACGCCACGATGCAGACAGGCATCTGCTCGGGGTCCCGTCTCCTTGGGAAGCTCTGGGCCCCAGGCTGATCTGGCCAGATTGCTTGCTCAGACCCCACAAAGCCACTCTCTTTGCACTTCAGAACCATCCCATTTTAGTAGATCATGGAGCTGCCAGCCTGAGTTTCGGTTATCCCGGTTTTTAGGCTCCGAGGTCGATCAAGATGTGCGGAATTTATCATTTGGGGATTGTTGTGGTAATTTGCTTGCCATTCCAATCTATTCTGAGCTGAAATTGATTAACACTCGCAAAAAGGGAAAAACAAAATTTAGCAAATTGCTGCACTAATTAAGGTGAAAGCAAGCCACTCTGTCTCCCAAGGTGTCGGCACTAGTGCTGGGGCAGCAACAGGAGGGGAAGAGCCACAGCTGGCCTCTGATGAAGGCTGCCCCTCACCTTTCCCCTGCCAGGCCCCGCACAGCCCTGTATACTGGATTTAGCAAGAGCACAAAGTCATAGCAAGACTCCGACTCAAAGGAGCAAAAACAAAATGCAGAGCAGTGGGAAAGACAGACCGGCCTGGGTCCTGGCTTCCTGTGAGCTATACGGGGAGGAGGTGGTGCTGGCAGGTGACAAAGGCCTGGTGTAGGGTGACCCATGAGGGCCCGGAGGTCTTGTGATGTGGCAGGCTTTGGAGAATTCTCCACTCCATAGTCCCAGCTCTTCTAGAGGCTGAGCTGGGAGGATCCCTGGAGCCCAGGAGTTCAAGACCAGCCTGGGCAACACAGTGAGACTGGTCTCCTTTAAAGGAAAAAAAAATAGCTCCACTCCCCTTTGAGGCCAGGGTCACATAGTGTTTGAAATGCTCTTGCTGGGCCTCACGGCTCATGCTTGTAATCACAGATACTCTGGAGGCTGAGGCAGGAGGATTGGAAATTCAAGGCCAGGCTTGGCAACATGGAGAGACCTTGTCTCCAAATAAGCAATAGAAAGAGCTAGGTAGTATTCAAGTACCCACAGGTTCTCAGTACTGCACAAAGGCGGGGTGGGGGGCCAGGAGATAAAAGCTCTTCATTGTGTAGCCTGCTACTTAATCTTATGCAGTTGGGGTGGGGGCTGAAGAGGAACGGGCTGCAGCTGCATCTACTCCAGGGAGCCCGGGTCTTCTGTGACCCCTTGCAGGGTAAAGAATGGGAGGGATTGGGGCTCTGACTGCCCATGTCCAGCCAGGTAGACCAGTTGTCCATTGTTTACATACTGGATCCTTCCATCCAAATTAAATCTGCATGGTTTAAAAGTTAATAAAAGTTAAAAGAGAGGTCCTGTCCCTCACAGGCATCTCACAATACCCTGTGCATTCCAGCTCTGCCCTGTCCCCTGCCATCAGCCCCGACCAAGCCTGTGGGATCTTTCCCAGCATGATGGCAACCATTCTTCCAGACTTGACTCCTGGCCTCCCTGCAGCTGCTGTCCTTCCCCATATCTCTTGGTGGCCATCAGCAAGAGTCAGTTTGGTGACTCCTGTGCCCCAGGCCACCACCCTTCCTGGGCAAATCCTTGCAGTTTTCCTTGCTTCCAAGCCAGAGACCACAACTGTGCAGGTTATTTCTCTGTAGTTAACCTCCATTCCCAGCCCTTTCTCAGCCGCATTGCTAATTAATTCCAGGTTCTTTTGCAGCTTCTTTACACAGGAACCCAGCCCTGCCAGCCTTGTCTCATAGTGGCTCCTTTGTTACTCGTTCTTTCAGGACCACATAGATTTCTTCAAAAAACTCATCCCAGATGCTGCTCTTTCCTGTCCTTGCCTGAGGAACTTATAAATGTGTGACTCTCCTAGACCCTAAGTTCGAAAGGGACTGGGATCATCTCTGGCATTTGTCACCCTTGTGTGCCTCATGCCGAAGATGACACCTGGCCGGTGAAATGTTTGGAAAGTGAATGACATGCAGGGCACTCAGAGCTGGGTCTTTAGGGAGAACAAAGTGAGGAGTGTTTGTCACCACCAAGGTCACCACATTCCTGGAGCCACCCTGCCTTGGGCCTGGCTGGACAGCCAGGTGTTTGCCGACCTTGAGCCTTCAGTGTCATAAATCCTCAGGTCCCTGTGTACAGCCTGAGTCCCCAGAGCAACCTGCAACAGGTGTTTTTTCATGAGAAGTGCACATGGCAAATGCCAGGAAGGCCACACACTGAAGCATCATCCTCTGGGCACCATCAGAGGCAAGGAAGCTCTGGGAAGAGAGAGTCGGGTCTGTGTTCTGCAGCTGTGGTGAAAACGAGTCCGATGTCTCCTGGGCACACACAGCCGGGCCTCCCCAGGTACAGCCCAAGAAGCCACTTTGTGCAGCTGCTGGCGATGGCATTTCTCAGAACTGTTCCTGTGGACCCCTCATTGAACCTGTTAGTGCTGAAGATAGAGCAACAGGGAATAGACAGTTTATGAGGGACGGTGCATGATCAAAAATGAACTGTGGGGGGCCGGGGATTTAGCTCAGTGGTTTCGCCGCCTGCTGCACAAGCGCAAGGACTGGAGTTTGATCCCCGGTACCAAAAACAAAAAAACAAAAAAAACAAACTGTGGGAATCTGCAGTGGACAAGCACACTCCATAATCACCAATTAGTGTGGATTTGAGAACAGCGATCGCTCAGCCTGCCCGTCTCTGCGGCCTGTAGCGTGCACACTGGTCTTCCTGGTGTTTCCACGGCCCATTTATTTGCAGCCTGCATGTCCCACATCAACAGGCTGCCAGGACAGAGGGTTCTGTGCTCGGATCTCTGCTCTAGATCTGCGGCTGTGAGTGTCCTCAGAGGGGGACACAGAGGAGGACTGACCTGGCCAGAGGCTCGGAAGGTGGCTGTGTGCTGTCGCTAACTGCACATGATGGCCCGTGCGTGGAGAGAGAAGTTTGATCACCTCCATCTCATGGATAATTCATAAACTAAAGCGCAGAGTTGGAGAGTATTTATTTGGCTAAGATCAGGCAGCTAATAAATGCCAAGGCTATTTGGCTTTCCCTTTCAAAATGAAATGGTACGAGATCAGGAGTGTGTAACTCAGGAGACCCAGATGTGGTCCAGACCCGAAGGAAAGCACAGAGACCCGGGCCGCAGCCACCAGGAACACAGGTGCCCCTGCCTGGTTGCACCTGGTTGATCCCTCTTTTCAGGAACTATCCGTCAAGGTCTAACATCAGGTAGACACCTACTTAAGGAGCACTTGCCATAGTCCTCAGGTTTCGTGTGGAATCTTGCACTCTGTGTGGGCCCTACTATGTCCATTATCCAGACAAGGAAACTGAGGTTGGGGAGGTTAAATACTTCAGATCACAGAGCTGCTGCATGTTGGACCTGAAATGGAAAGCCAGCACTGGCCGACACTGCCATCCTAGGCCTTTCTCCTGTGTTACACTTCCCTCCCTGGCGGAAGCCGAGATACCAACTGTAATTCTGGCTAAACAAGCTTCCTCTAAGTTCCCTGCGCTGCGCCTTTGGTCCCTGCAGAACACATGCATTAAGCATGAACCCTCCACTTAAAGCCCCGCTGGGAGCTGAGCTTCCTGCTGCGGATAAAAGTGACCCATTGCAAGGATGCTGCTGAGGTTTAGGGAGGCCCTGTCCCCCCACCCGAGACTTAGGTCTAAATGAAACAATCATCACTGTACACAGTTTGCTTCAAATCACCAAAATATATCCAGCTGGCTTTCAGACGAGGCCCTGCACCTCACCTGAAAGCCTTTAATCTTGCCCCAGTTGGCCCAGAAAGTCACCCCCACACCTCAACTGGGGTGCAAACAATCCAGAGCTCATGAAAGGAAGCTGCTAGGGCTGAGGTTGTTTCAGGCTTCACCTGGGTAGCAGGGAGCCCTAATTTATCTCTTGTTCTCTGAGACCTGAGGGCCGCTTGTTACACACATCAGAAGGTCAGAAAGTGGGATTCAGGACTGTGCTTATAGGAAATATTGATGGCTGACTCAGAATTGGCTTCCTGCTTGCCCTTAATTGCCTGTGTGCCAGGCCCCGTGGAGTACAGGAAGGGCTCTCCAGGAGCTGTAACCTCCTCGCCTGCCATCTTCCAGGGGCTCTCTTTTGGCGCTTCTC